CAATACAATTACAAAATAATAGCAAAAATATAATAAAAACATTTTGATGTATTAAATATATTTTTGTAGTATTTTAAAATTATTACAAAATCATTTCAAAAAATTGGCCATTTTTAGTAAAGAGTTCCCTTATAAATATTTTCTCTAGTTTGAAATTCTGTTTATTTTAGTTAACATTCAAAATAATATATGCAAGTAATATATTTAAGATATCTGCAATAATAAATTTCTTTTTTATTTAAAAATTAAAAATAATATATGCAGGCAATAAGATTAAGATGCTCTTGCAATATATTTATATCAGACAATTACAAATAATAAGTTATTATCTAAAATATCGAATGAATTCAATCGCGTCAAATATGAGTTCAACTCGAGTTCAATTTGAGTTCACACGAACTAATTTATTTCACTAGATATTATGAATTTATTATACTATTTTTTATTTACAATTTTAATCATTTAGTTTATTTATAATAATTGTAAAATTAAATCATATTTAATCAAGTCAAATCTAACAAAAATTAACAATTTCATCAACGCAAATTCAAACTCGAATTCAACTCGAGTTCGACGAGTTTTGAAACGATTAAATTCGCTGAATATAATAATCTAACTACATTTGTACATGCCAATTATATTAATATTATAATATTAACCCATACTTATGTTTAATTGTAAAACATAAATAATACCGATATTATTAAATTTTGATTTTTTCTTTGACCATACGAGTTGATATGTCGTACAGTGTCAGAATAATATAGCAATTGTGGCTGTAAAAGGCTGTGCTTAATTGTAAAAGGAAGTTTAACATTATTGTTTCATCATTCATTTCTTTAAACAGAAATTCATAACATTTATTTTTATCTTATAATAGTCATTTTATATTTTGACTAAGGTTGCTTGCCAAAACCTCTCCAAAATCCTGCAATAAATTTCGGCAAGATTTTACTATATGTTTACTATAGTTTCAGCAGGGTTTCGGCAGTTTCGGCAAATGGGAGTTTCAGCATTTCGGCAAAGTTTCAGCAGGATTTTTAATATGATTTAATATAGTTTCGGCATTTTCCGTATAGGTTTCGGCAGTTATTAAGAAGGTTTCAGCAAGCAACCTTAATTTTGACAATAGATAATAAATTCCATTGTTATGTAACATTCTTCAAAAATGAGACATTGGATCAAAAAATAGGAGATGGAGCACAAGAACTCGGTTATTAGAATTTAGAATTATGATTACAGTATAAAATTAGAATACATACATTATGTACTGTGTGAATGTGTGATCTCGCGAGATGAGAATGTCCGGTTTCAAAATTAATATAAAGAACTTTAATTCAGTAAACATATTTATTTTACTTTTTTTTCGCTTATTTTTCTTAATCGAATTTTTCTATATTTTTTTTCACTAATATTTATATTATGTCTAAATGTAAAGCAGTTTATAATAATCAAGTAGAAGTTGAAACAGGTATTTATATAACTTTTTGTAAATATAATTATATTTTTTGCTTATATGTAAGGAAAATAAATAGTAAAATACCAAAAATATGTATGATAGGAACGAAAAAAAATCCAAGGACTTTATCGAAAAAGAGGAGAGAAATGAATATCGAAGAAACTAATCAATTATTATTAGGTAAATATTAATTATATAGGCTTTAGCTCTTTGATATTATTCTATTAATTTTAATTGAAATAATTGAAATGATATATTATATAGAAAAAGAAGTAATAGTAGAAGATGATGTAAGGGATAAAAGTGAAGATGAAGATGAAGAAAATGAAGAAGATAAAGATGATGATAATGATAAAGACAAGTTAGGCGCGGCTAAAACAGTTCTGGATCCGTTTCAGTTTTGTACAAAATTAGATATATGTAACTGGCTTCTAAAAAATCCAGACATTTTACGATTAGCAAATGAGATGAATGAATCATCTTATGTCGTTAGTTCAAAGAATACTGAAGTTAGTATTAATACAATATGGTAATATTTATTATGTCTAAATCTTTAAATAACGTATCTCATAATATTTTAGGATAAAATACGACTCTGGGATGAGTCGGTAAAGTGCTTATTTTTACGAGCGAGGAATCAGAGTAGTGAAGCACTAGATGATTTAGTTGTGAAAATTTTTCAGTTTAAAATTTATACTAGTGAAGCCAGAAGCTATTTAGAAAAAACTCGTAAGTCTTTAATTGACTTTCGAAATAAATTCAACCAAAATATTCTAAATTTAGTGGAGGAATACAAAAAAATAAGAAAGAGCAGGTATTTATTTATTTAATTGTTTTATAGTCAACAAAATAGTGCTATTTGTATAATTATTAATTAATTAATTATAGGGGTACGACTGGAAATCTTTCACAAAAAGAAATTAAAGAATAAGTTGATGAAAACGTGATGCAAAAACTTTTAAACCGTCAACTCGCAGCTGTCAATATTTTGGAATTAACAAATAATGGAGGAACTGATACGTTAGTTGAGTTTGTTAAGAAAGCCGTCCACGTTTCTTGGGACGGTAAAAACTTATCTGGTATAAAGGAGTTGGATATCATGACTAAAAATTTAATTATCCCTTCTCGAAGTGGAAGTGATATAGTAAATACCCTAAAACAAGTAAGTTATTTTATTTATTTCGCACATTACGCTTTTAATAATAATATATTAATAAAATTAAATTATAGATTTAGGTGCATTCTTATAAAATTATATGACGAAGAAGAATCATTAATAAATGATTTTATAAAATTTTAATAAAAAAATAAAATTGAGTTTTATTGAGTATTTCTTTTTAGTTTATTTAATTATTATTCTTTTAATGGTATAGACTTTAATAATAATTAGCTTCAATCGAAAAATCACAAAAAGTTTTAAAAGTTTTGAATATCTGTTGAGATTCAATCATATTTGAATTTCTTTAACTTGTTGTGTTATTACCATTAAGTAATCAATTATCTGTATAAACTGTGTAAAGTTAATTTAGCTCTATTTTGAGTAATATCCACCTATAAAGAACTCATCCGTGCATTACTTAAACAATTATTGGTTGATCAAGTTCGTATAATACCAAATTTATAAAATTGTCTGATTAAATGATCGCGTAATTAAATGATCACGTATATTAAATGATCACGTATAAGACCTATTAATTCCTAAAAAGTCAATTCAACCACCATTTTATCTGTCTCTTATACACATCTAGATGTGTATAAGAGACAGCAATAAAAGTGAAGAAGAAGAGGAGGAGGAAGAAGAAGAAGAAGATGATGATAACGTCAAGTTAGGCGTGGCTAAAACAATTCTGGATCTGTTTCAGTTTTGTACCAAATTAGACATATGTAACTGGCTTGTAAAAAATCCAGAAATCTTACGATTAGCGAATGAGATGAACGAATCATCTTATGTTGTTAGTTCAAAGAATACTGA